CAACACCCTACAGACTCCTTCAAGAATTCTGAACACAGACAGGAAATAGACTAGAAGGTTTGCCAATGTTGACTTAATCAAGGTAATCCTACCACCCAAAGAAAGGTAGTTCTTCTTCCAAGAAGCTAACATTTTTGTGAATCTATCAATCACTGGATTTCAAAAGCTCCTTTTCTAGGATTATCCCCTAATGGGAGCCCTAGATATTTCAATGGCCATTGAGCCATCTCACAGCCCAGCATTTGGGCCCTTTCCTCCACCTCTCCAGTACTCGTATTAATGCCAATCACACAGCTCTTGTCAAGGTTTACTTTGAGGTTGGTCACTTGTTCGAATACCTTAATCACCATCTTTAGATTGCTAACCCATCTAATCTCCTCTCCACCACAAAACAGAATTGTGTCATCTGCAAATTCTCGGTAAGTGACTGGGACCCTATCCCTCCCAACTCTCCAACCACTTACCAAACTTCTTGAATCTGCCCTCTCAATAAGCCTTCCTAACACTTCAACAATTAGGGTAAAAAGGAAGGGGGAAAGAGGATCCCCTTGCCTAATACCCCAAACAGCTGAAAAACGATCTACCACCTTGCCATTCACTAATATAGAATAGTGGCATGTCTTGATACACCCTTTTATCCATTTACACCATCTTTGCCCAAACCCAAAGGACTCTAAAACTTCTAACAGCAAGGACCAATCAACCATATCATATGCCTTTTCCAGATCCAATTTACACACCACCCCTTTCTCCCCTCTACTTTCATAATCTTCCACACTCCCATTTGCAATTAAAATTTGGTCGACAATTTGTCTATTCTTCACAAAGGCGCCTTGATTGTGGGATATTATTGTGGGAAGCACCTCTCCAATTCTTCTGGATAACACCTTAGCAATGATCTTATAGAGGCTATTAGCCAAATTGATGGGTCTAAACTCTTTAGGGTGGCAAGCTCCCTCCTTTTTCGGAATTAAAGCAATAAAAGTCGAGTTCAGGCCAGGGTTTATCACTCCCCTTTCAAAGAATTCTGAGAAAATATTTTGAATGTCAGCCTTAATAATCTTCAAGTAGTCTTGGTAAAAAGCCATCGTGAAACCATCAAGGCCTAGGGCTTTAGATCTATCCATAGAAAAAAATGGCATCTCTTATTTCTTCCAGGTCAAACTCTCTTTCCAACCACCCAATCAACTCATCAGGGAGCTTGGGCCAACCCAATCATTCAAAGTTGAGTTTCAGTCTTCATGTTACAGTTTCTGCCCACTCTACTTGCCTTTATTGGTTTCTAGCTTTATACCCCACCACAACCTGTTGTCCTCTTAGTAGCCCGTCCATAGTGATACCTTTAATTTCATCACAAACCAAAGCCCAATGCCCAATTCTTATGGTGATAAGGTCCATCAAAACTCTCACCCTTAATTCTTTGTTTTCAAAGATTCCAGTATTCCTCCCCCACCCCCACCACCAAAACCTCATTGACCTGATTGGTAGCCTTCCAACTAAATACCTTTACTTTTGGAGGTATTGGGCCAGCACACAAGGCTTTTAATTGGGAATAAATGAATCACAGTGATTTGATACAAGGTTTAAAGAGGGAATACATGAGAAAATGGTATTGGTGTCTGGACCCCATAAATTTCATGATGGACAAGAACAAACAAGAACAAAGCAACATCTAGTGACACTTTTTTTTTATCAGTAACAGAAAGCTTTCATTAAATTATAAAGAAGGTTAAAATAGAAAGGTGAGGGGAGGTAAACCCTCTCACCACCCCCCCAACAATAAAATTACATAGTAGCCCAAAACAATCAGCTTCTTCCCACCCCCTGTTTGGCCAAAGCATATGCAAATGAATTAGCACATCTTTTAACCCACTGGGCACACACATCCATTCCTTGGGTTAGCCACTTAAAATGCCTTTTTTCATTAATGTATGCCCATAACCCATTGTTTTCCTTCTCTATCCAGCCAATTACCACTTGCGAATCTCCTTCTATAATCAACTTATTTATATTCAACTCCTTGTTCCTTTTTACCCCCTCCAGGAGGGCCTGAATTTCTGCTCTCAAAGAATCTCCAACTCCAATTGGTCCTGAAAAAAGAGTTATAATTGAACCTACCTCTATTCTGAACACACCAACCCTTGGTGACCCTGAGTTTCCTTCACTACTCCCATCAAAGTTGAGTTTGATAAAGCCTTCCATCAGAGGGAGCCACATTGGATGGACATTGATTCTGCTAGGAGCCAAGACTGCTATTTCCTGCCAATTATTCATGATGGTCTCTATTGAAGCATTCTCAAAGAGATTCATTATTTTTACCCATTGTGCTACCCTCATGGAGATTACTTCTATAATTGTGTCCCTGCTTCTTTCCTTTTCAGCAAATATCCTTTGGTTCCTTTCCTCCCAAATTGTCCAACAAACTGCTGCCTTAGTGTATCTTCACAAGATTTTTCCCCTCTTTTTGATCCGCCTACCAACTGCATAGGTGAAGAGGCTATGAATGCTTGATGGAGGAGTCCACCTGCAACCAAATAAAGAGAGAAACCACTCTAGCCGAAATTCCAGTGTCCCAACCATCTATCGTCAGCCCGTGAATGCTCTTGATCACTTTTGTCCACAACTTGTCTTGATCCACCAAAAATCTCCATAACCACTTACCCAGCAAGGCTGTATTCCTCTTTTGAATGTTCCCAATTCCTAGACCCCTTAACTTCTTACTTCTAATCACCATTTACCATCTCACCCTATGATCCCTCCTCTCCTCTCCTGGTTCCCATAAAAAATCCCTCATTATCTTCTCTATCCTTCTACAAATCCTTACAAGCATCCTAAAGACCAAAAGGAAATATACCGGCAGATTTGCTAATGTTGATTTGATCAAAGTTATTATTCCACCCATCGATGGATAATTCCTTTTCCAGGAGGCAAGCCTTTTTGAGAATCTATCCACCACCGGGTTCCAAAATTCCACACTTCTAGGGTTGCCTCCCAAAGGTAAACCCAAATAAATCATAGGCCATGACATACCTCACACCCCAATAATGTTGCACATTCAATTACTTCTTCATCTTCCATGTTGATCCCTGTTACACAAGTCTTATTGAAGTTGACTTTCAGATTTGTCATTTTCTCAAATACTTGTATCACCTCCTTCATATTCCTCACCCAGCTTAGATCACCTCCCTCACATAATAGAATAGTATCATCGGCAAATTGCAAATGAGTGATAGGTACTCTCTCTTCCCACTCTCCAACCTCTCACCAAACCCCTCAAATCTGCTCTCTGAAAAATAATTCCTAACACTTCTGCTACTAGAGTGAACAAGAACGGAGAAAGGGGTCCCCCTGTCGAATGCCTCTGATGGCTCAAAAGTGGTCAACCACTATGCCATTAACCAAGAGTGAGTAGTGACAAGTACTAATGCAACCCTTAATCCACTTGCACCACCTATCTCCAAAGCCAAAATTCTTCATTACTTCCATTAGGAAATCCCAGTCCACCAAATCATAAGCCTTCTCTAAATCGAGCTTGCAAATCAAGCCTTTCTTTCCAGATCTCTTTAGCTCATCCACACTCTCATTGGCAATAAGGATTTGGTCCAAGATCTTCTTATCCTATACAAAGGCCCCTTGATTTAAGGAAATAATAGAAGGAAGCACTGATCTAATTCTTCTTGATAGCACCTTGGCAATGATTTTGTAAAGACTATGAAGAAGACTGATTGGCCTAAAGTCCTTAGGTTGTATTGCTCCTGCTTTCTTTGGGATCAAAACGATGAAGGTAGTATTTAAACCTGGATTAATTACTCCTCTGTTAAAAAATTCATCAAACACCTTTTGGATATCCTCCTTCAAAATGTCCCAACAGCCTTGGTAGAAAGCCATAGCAAATCCATCTGGACCTGGTGCTTTAGATTTATCCATTGAAAAAACTGGTTCCCTTATTTCCTCCAAGTCAAACCTTCCTTTATTTCCTCCTGGTTCCCATAACAACTTACATAGAAGCACAAAAAATATCTTCCTTAGAAACCCCCTGTTTGGCTAAAGCATCAACCAAAGAATTAGCAAACCTATTAACCCATTTTACCTCAACTCCCATATTGCTGGTTAACCACTTTACTTTTTTAATGAGATCTTTGTAGCCCCAAATGGTGGTATCCAAGTTTAGGAGCCACCTTGTTACCACCTGAGAGTCCCCTTCAACTAGGAGATGCTCCACCCCAAGCTGGTTGGCAATCTGAATTCCTTGTATTGCAGCAAGGATTTCTGCCCTTGTGGAATCCCCCACTCCCACCGGTCATGAGAATTGGGAAATTATGTTGGTATCCTTATTTCTCAGGATACCCCCTATACCTATAGGCTCGGGGTTGCCTTGGCTGCTTCCATCAAAGTTCAGCTTAATGACACCTTCCAAAGGCGGAATCCATTCTGATAGAATTCTATCCTTCTTTGTTAAAGTGTTAGCTATTACTAGCCAATTCCTCCACAAGTCATCAAAGATATCCATAGTTTAAAGTCAATGGATTGCTCTTGTTAGGATACAATCCTTCATTTCATCTAACCCTCTTTCCTTCTTTAAGAAAATTCTTGCATTCCTTTCCTCCCAAAGAGTCCA